ATATTTGGCCAGTAGGGACAGTAATGATCCAAGACTAAAAAGTCACTACAAAATGTACTGTAAAATTTTGTCAAAAGTCATTAAAGAAGCCAAACAGAATAACTATAACAGCCAAATTCTAAAATCAAACAATAAAATTAAAACCACCTGGGATATTGTGAAAGTTGAATCAGGAAAGAAATCTGTTAATGAAGACGTACAAAGTTTGAATATTGAAGGGAAGTCCACTAACAATCCACAAGCTATCGCAAGTGCATTTAATGAATATTTCCTTTCATTAGCTGAGAAAACATATTCCAATAATAATAATAATAATAATAATAATAATAATAATAATCCAATATACTATCTGTCTCGTGCCTTTAACAATTCATTTCCAAATATCAATCTCAAATTCTCAACAAGGAAGGAAATTGAAAACATTATTAAATCCCTTAAGCCCAAAAATTCACATGGATATGATGAAATCTCTACCAAATTACTTAAAGCAAGCTCTGTTTACATCAGTTCACCCTTGAATCATCTATGTAATAAATCTTTATCATCAGGTACTTTTCCTCAACGCTTAAAATACGCTGTAATGAAACCACTTTTTAAAAAAGGAGAGAGAAAATGCATCTCTAATTACAGACCAATATCCATATTGACTTCATTCTCAAAAGTCTTTGAAAAAGTTATGTATAATAGACTACTTGAACACTTAAATTCTAACAACATATTAGTCAAAGAGCAATTTGGATTTAGGAAAGACCTAACAACAGAAAAAGCAACCTATGAACTAACTAACGATATTTTAAGTGCTCTCAATGACAGATTAATTGTGGGAGGGATTTTCTGTGATCTAGCAAAAGCTTTCGATTGTGTTAATCATGATATCTTACTATCGAAATTAAATTTCTATGGAATAACTGGCAAAGCTAATGAATGGATCAAATCATACCTCAAAAACAGGTATCAAAGAGTTGAAATAAATAATAAAAACTCCAGTCATAATGCATTTTCAAACTGGGGAATTATAAAGCACGGTGTTCCACAAGGATCAATTTTAGGTCCCTTACTTTTTCTTCTCTACATAAATGATCTATCTAAAACCATCAACAATAAATCTAAACCAATTCTATATGCAGATGACACTAGTATAATATTTAAGAACTCTAAATTTGACAACTTTAAAAATGACATAAATATTGTATTTGAAGCCTTAAACAGATGGTTCGAAGCCAATTTACTCTCATTAAATTTTGATAAAACCCATTACATATCATTCACAACTAAAAACAACCACCAAATTGATCTGGACATCAGTTATGCCAACAAATTAATCTGTAAAGTACTTGATACAAAATTCCTTGGAATACATGTAGACAGTACACTGTCTTGGAAAATACATATTGAACAAATTATACCTAAATTAAATGCAGCTTGCTATGCGATGAGATCAATTAAGCCTTTTATGTCACAGGAAACATTGAAGATGGTTTACCATGCCTACTTTCATTCTATTATGAACTATGGATTAATATTTTGGGGGAACTCTTCACATAGTGTAATAATTTTTAAAATACAAAAGAATATAATAAGAATCATTACAGGATGTAGAAGTAGAGATTCATGTAGAGAATTATTTAAGAAATTAAAAATTCTACCGCTTCAATCGCAATACATATTATCGCTTCTCCTATTTGTTGTTTACAACAAAGATAAATTCAAATTAAATTCTGATGTCTATAACATGAATACTAGACAAAAATATAACTTCCACCTACCCTCATCAACTTTATCAGTATATCAAAAAGGAGTCTACTTTACTGGCATAAAAGTGTTCAACAATCTGCCACAAAGTATTAAAAACTTGGGCAATGATACTAAAAAGTTTAAATCAGAGTTAAAGAATTATCTACATGCTCATTCCTTCTACTCTTTAGATGAATACTTCAATGTAAATAGAGAATGATGTAAAATTAAGTTATATTAATTTTTAAGCTAAAATTGCCTGTACTTATGTATGTAACCTTTTGACTTGTTCTGTATCCAAACGTACTAACCTGCTTAGGATTTATAGAATGTAAATAAATTCAATTCAATTCAAACAGTTTTTGGATGCAATAAAAATGCAAGTAAGTTGAGGTTATAGCCCATTCAGATATTACTATGAAAAGTTTGGAGACAAGAGATCAGGCTCCTAGCTGAGGCCAATGTCAGAAATTTTTCAGTCCAAGATGTGTTCTATGACATTTAAAACCACAAATTCACAACACAGTCTAAACCATCCTTATATGAAGAAAATTATATTCCTGTTTTCAATGCATGTGAACTGTTCAAGCTCTAGAATGGCAAACATACTGTACATACAGGCAGACTGAATTCCAAAAACCACCCTTTGTATTCAGCAGTGTTGAGAAAGTGTAGGTGCGACAACATTTTGAGACCGATTTATTTCACAATCACAGTCTTATTTTACATATGACAGGTGGAACTTTAATAGTGGCAACACTGCTGTAGACACACCATACAATGAACCAAATAATGTCGCTTATACCACGTTAGTTACATACCTACCTTTACCACAGAGCAAATGGAATCTCCCTTCCCACATCACGCGCATGCACAGGGACGAGAAGAACAAAGACTTGTGCTAGCTGGCGGTCTAATGTAGTGTTGTCAAGATGTTTTCGAAACAGGAACAACGGAGTTGGATAAAGACTGAATGTGCCAGAGGCCGTACAGCACGACAGTGTCATCAAGGTCTTTAAGAGGCTTGCGGGGAATCTGCATTGCCTTACAGAACAGAGGCAAGGTGGGTAAAAGCCTTCAACGAGGGACGTCAAAATGTGGCAGACATGCGTTGACCAGGTCATCCTGGTGTCAGTGAAGAAGTGTATGCTCTTTCTGCGTTACTGGAGTGTTTGATGCCATATGATTCGTGAGCTGGCCTGAGACAGGATTAGCGCATACGACTGTGCTTCACTTTCTGAAGGAACGCCTGGGCATGAGAAAAATTGCATCATGATGGGTTCCGCATGATTTGACGGAAATGCAGAAATGGCAAGCTGTGGCTGATTTGTTTGATCGATGGGGCTGGGAAGTGCTGTACCATCCATCATACTCTCTGGACTTAAGCCCTTGTGACTTTGACTTGATTCCTAAGATGAAGGAACCACTGCGTGGCATTCGCTTCAGAACTGTTCCAGAGATTCTTAAGGCAGTAGACCACTCCATTCAAACTATCAACACAACAGGTGCTGCTAAAGGTATCCCATGACTTCCACATCGCTGGCAACGGGCTGTACAGAATGCTGGTGACTACACTGAAGGACAGTAAAACTTCGAAACATGCATCTATTTTGTATCAGTTGTAAATAAATAGTTGCCACAATTAAAGTTCCAAGCCTCATATATGTGAAAGTAAAAAAAAGAAGCTTATGTTAATCCACTATGAATTCATTCATGACTTTCTATTTTGCTAGATTTGAAGTTCTCATTGCAGTGGCTATGAAGACTCAAGAAAACTGCAGGATTAACTTTTACTCAGCATCCTTAGAATTGAATGACAGAGCTTCAAACAAAGTTGCATTATTATGACGCAAGCTTAGAGCAAATGCTGCATAACTGGCATTTAAAGGCCTCGATACCTATATTTTGTATAAAAATAATCCTGTTAGATGGGGGTTTGAGACTGAAACTCATAAATCATGGTAATACATAATTAATCAGAAATGTATTATGGACAGGTAACAGGCCATGGAGGCCCATAGGGTTGTGAGATGTTGAGGTTCCCACATTTTCTAGACAACTGGCTCTCAGATGGGGGTGAAGTTGTCAGCCTTATGCGCTGGCCGCCCTTTACCCCCAGGAATATTCCTGGTACTCATTTCTGTTTTTGGCTGAGTCAACCCCAGGGCCATAGTGTAGGTGGAAGGATTAGGTAAACTGAAAAAATCCACCTCATCGGGATTCAATCCCTTGACTTTCTGGTTGTAGCATAATGCCTCAACCAACTATGCTACCATGTTACCTGTTATGGACAAAGCGACGTTTCAAATTAGTGAAAGGATAAACTGACTCAAATACATGTACCCATGTTTTCAACACCCATAGTCATATTACAGGCTACAAGTTTGCAACCTTTGCTGCAATTAATACAGCAGAATGCAGTAACATTAATTTTCCCATGCCATGTTTAATATACAAAAACACGGTGTAGAAAGAGCATCTAGAGTGACTGTCCTGACTGAATGAGAACAATGTAATTTAAATGAATAGTAAAAGATTAATAATGTAGCTTGTACATTTTGCAATTTTCATGCAGGGTCAGATCTCTGGAATGGCACCACGAATAGTGCAACAAAGATGCATAAAGGGCAAGGCTAGAATGGTGAAAATATATATGAATTTTCTTCACCTTATATTGGTAATAAATTTCATACCAATAAAACTGCTGATGCTGCTGTGCATTATAAGGCCACAATACACTTGCATGTATGCCAAAAGTGGGTTATTATACATGTATGTGTGCATACATGCACATCTGCGTCCTCTCAATATGCATGGAGATAACTGTCCTAAGGTGACTCATCCTGATGAAACATTTTTGAACGATCATAAGGAAAAATGAGTTCATGATCTTTACAAGATTTTTGCATCAGAAGATAATTATTATCAATGTTCTCATGATAATATTGTCACGTGTTAGTGACTAGACACAGATTTTGGATTGATAATCAGATTTCTTGAAAGCTTATAACTCTGACTTTAAGTAACTACACTACTGTCAACGATTTACACATTCTAATGATCACAGTAGCTACAGAGTGGAAACATGCCTACCGGCCGTTGCCTATCAATGGGCTACTTTTCTTGTTAAACTATTCTAGCTTTCAGTCATCATGTCACAATATCATAATATTTTTGAAATTCTGAAGTAGTTTTAACAACAAATTTAGAAGAATGACAATCAGTCCATGCAAGTTTTATAAACTTTTAAATTAATCAGTACTTACAGAAGCAGTGACTCCACAAGCAATGGCTAAATTCCGTTTATGCTTATTGGCATGTTCATAACGAGCATACAGTTTCCTACCAACCCACACTGGAATACCTGAAATTGGAAAAAAAAAATGAAGCTGTTAAAAGGAATGAAGCCTGGGAAAGTTATTTAAGCACAACAGCTTCTTAGGGTTCTGAAGAACTATGGCAGAACAGATGTCATCCTTCTACTTGATCAGCCCAAACTAGAAATCCAGAATGCCACAGGGGTTCAGTATTATCTGAACATAAGAAATATCTAGAACTATGCTGAAAGAAATGTACTGGAGCAGACATGACAAGTGAGAATGATGCAACAGCTGAAATTAAAGTAATGAAGGCTTTAGGTACTACACACAATATAAGCATGAAAGAAATCTACTTCATGGCTTGATTTAATACAGATACAAACTCTTGACATGAAGCACCTAACCAGAAAAACTATGGCAGCTGCAATGGGAAAGACAAACAAGAAGTGAGACATACAGAATATAATAAATGTTAAAATTCTTGTCCAGAGTAGAAAACAGCACATAAAGCATTACAATTTATGTGCTGTAAGTGACCACTGCATACACTGCCACATCATCGCTTTACTGGAACGTATGTGTATGGTTTTGGATTTCTTCGTTGGGGGAGAATTCACGTGCTTCCACTGTTGGCTCTGCCATTTGCTCTCTGGTTCAAAATGGTGGCACCAAGTTTTGTCCCCAGTGGCAATACAGGACAGAAAAGCATACTCTTCCTCATGGTATCATTGCAATTGATCCTGTGAGGCAGCTATTTTCTGAGTTTGCTGTTCCTTCGCGAGTTGATGTGGAACCCAATGCGCGCAGATTTTGCGGTACAGTAGGTGTTTTGTCACAATGGCGTGTATGGAACCGTGACTTAATCCAATCAAGAGACTAATTTCTTCCCCAGTAATCTGTTGGTTTGGCCAGATATGACGATCCCACACAGCAATAACATCAGGAGTGATGACATGATGAGCGTGTCCTGGGTGATCATCATCTTGCAGTTACATACGTCCCTCTTGGAATCTCTTATGCCATGCCAGCACATGTGAATGTGACATGCTGTGTTAGCCATAAACAGCAGACATAGGATGATGAATTTCTTGTTCTCCTACTCCTTCAGCAGTCAAAAAGCGCACTACACTTTGCTGTTCTTCTTTACTCGCCTCCATTACTGATGTTGGATGACCACACGTAGTGCTAACCTTACTTCCAGCACAATAAACAAACAACTAATGTGCAAGGGCATGTTGTCACTGTGCTTTCCTGAGTACCTACCAGATGTTCGTACCATAGGCAAATTTCAGTGTTACCAACTTCGGCGCCATGTGAGTTATGTGTGGTGACCCGTTTTCATTTGACTGCCCCTTATACATTCTGCATGTTGTTTTATGAGGGGCAGTCAAAAAGTTCCTGCAATGGTGGTATAGCACTCTAATGGTAGGACATACAGAAACGCTTAACTAATCACTTTCAAAGTAGGACCCTTGCGTGCACACACACTTGCTCCATTGATCCTGCCATTGTTGGAAGCAGCGGTGGAAGGCTTCTTTTGGAATCTTCTGGAGCTCAGCCGTTGCATTCGATTTGATGTCCTCCATGGTTGCGGAAAGTGTCCCCTTGAGGCCAATTTTCAGAGTAGGGAAAGCCAAAAGTCACTTGGAGTGAGATCCAGAGAGTATGGTGGTTGAGTGATGACAGGAATGTTTTTCTCAGTGAGGAATTGCTGCACAACAAGTGATGTGTGGCTCAGTGCACTATCATGACGCAGGAACCACTGTCCCTGCCACTTGTCATGCCGCTTCCCCCGAAACGCATCGCGCAACCTCTGAAAAACTTGCATACAGAAATGGCCAGTAACAGTACTAACTTCTTGCTCCAACTCTGCGATGGTCATTCTTTGATCACACTGAATCAGGTGTCGCACTTTTCCAATTATTTCTTCGGTTCTGGATGTCGAAGGTCTCCTGCTGCACTGGTCATCCTCTAACATCTCCTGCCTATACTTAAACCGGGAAAACCAGTCGTAAACTGTGGATTTCTTTAGCGCAGTATCACCATAAACTTGCTGCAGGGCTGATTGTGTCTTTGAATCAGATTTTGCCAATTTGCACATGAACTTGATGTTCGCACGCTGTTCGAAACATTGTGCCGAATGACCAACACTCACGTCTAATTCAAATGAAACAGTAATGACACTGCACACTGAAACCTGTTCAGACCTGTTGCACCTATGAGTAGACATGCTGAGCTTCCCACCACAACAGTGTGTGCGCTATCTTATCACTCGTTCTCCGTCTGCAGGGGAATTCTGGGAACTTTCTGACTGCCCTACGTACATTCTATATGCATGCATGTATATGTGTACATACATAGAAACATAAAACAGTAACCAAAAATGAAACATTAAATTGACAGGGCACCAAAGAACCATACAAGTTTGCACAGCCACCACACTGGTATTACTGTTGGCACAAAACTAAAAAAGTACAGAGGAAAGGTTAACTTCCTGAAGCATGATATTCATAAAAGTCAGTCATCTGTTTCATGGGTTATTTAGGGTGAAGGTGAGGAAATACAAATGAAGTCATACAATCATCCAGATATAAAAAGCCTATCAAGAAACATCATCAGTTTCAGCTATGCAAAATATTTATTTCTGAGCTGTATAAAGAAATACACAAGATTTGAAGTATTCATAGCGTTGAAGATTTTGACTGTGATCTCCTGGATTATGACACCATATAATCTGGTAGGCAGTTATCAACAGTTTCAAGGTACCTGATGATTCCCTTTTCAGGGCAAGAGAACTCCTTAAGGGTGGAAAAATTCAGGGCACAAGTCCTCCGGGAGTGACTTTAAGCCGTGTGTCCTGTGTCGTAGATTTACGGCACGTAAAAGATCCTCATGTCTCTAGGAGACCTCTGAGCAAAATCAGGCAGTTTCCTGCCCAAGTAGTTTCCAATTCCTCTGGTAGATGGGGAATTATCACTACTTCACCACTACTGGAGAAGGCTGACCTCGCTGGCAGAAAGGGGCTGATAGAGAGCACCAGTACTGGAAGGGCATGGCGACTAGATAGAAAATTAAAAAGGGGGGACGCACAATAGATCAATAAATGGTCACAGTGCATGGGGTAACCCACCCCCTCCGAATAATAATAATAATAATAATCTCATCTATATGTTTATCCCAGGTTATATCATTTTGGATAGTCAGGCCAAGAAATTTTAGGTGATTTGTATTTAATAAAACTGTTCCTATGCCTCCCATTTCTCTAACTACATTATTTTCTACAGTGAAGTTTATATAATATGTTTTCATTATATTAGGTGACATTAAATTTTTTTTAAACCAGTCCTCCAGCATCCTATATACTTCATTTATTGTATTTTTTAAGTTTTATTGGATTGTCTTGAGAGATTAAAAAATTGGCATCATCAGCAAATAGAATGGGAATACTCTTAGTCTCTAAAATCTTGGGAAGGTCATTTATATATATTATAAACAGCAGTGGTCCCAGTATCAACCCTTGCAGGAGACCATTAGTTACTTTAACCCATTGAAAGTTTACTTTACTACTGTTTGTCCCACTGGAGATAGCAATTCTCTGTTTTCTATTCAGTAGATATGACTTATGTAGCTCATATTGTTTGTCTTTTATTCCATAATACCTCAATTTACTTAATAATATACCGTGGCTAACACATTTTCCATATAATTCACATTAAAATCCCCACAAACAATAACTTTATCCTTTTTATACAAATTTTGTAGAATTAATTCCAGTTTACTCAAAAATATTTCATAATCAGTGGAAGGTGATCTATATATAGTTAAAATAATTACTTTAAAATTTATAGTATTTAAAGTGACAGCACAGGCTTCAAAACAAAATTTATCAAGATTAATAGTACGAGTTGTTAAATTATCATGCACATATACAGGATGTCCCAGGAGGAATGTGCCAGACTTTGGGAGGGTGTTCCTTATGTTAAAGTATGCCGGCCACGGCGACTGGCACCGGACCGACTCGCTATCGCAAAGGCCGAGTTCGACGCCATGTTGCGGGATGGTACAGCTTGTCGATCAGAGAGTTCATGGTCTTCGGCACTACATATTGTGCCCAAGAAAGACAACGGTTGGCGTCCTTGCGGCGACTATAGAGCACTAAACGCCCGGACAATCCCTGACCGCTACCCAGTCCCGCATATCCATGACTACGCACACCAGCTCCATGGCTGTACCATTTTCTCCAAAATCGACTTGGTACGAGCCTATAACCAAATTCCCGTCAATCCCGGTGATATACAGAAGACGGCCATCACCACTCCATTCGGCCTATTCGAG